GAAATTGTAACCACTCAACGTCATTGTACATTACATTTTTATATTTAAGACCATCTATTTTACATAAAAAAGTCACAGTACAGGCTCAGTAATTTGTTGATAATAGTTTAATATATTTGAATCAGTACTTCAGCTAATTATAGAGTCCTTTGACACATTTCAGATTTCAGTATTACCTTTGCAATTTTATTAGAAATGTGCCATCAGTGCCAACAGCTTCTTCTGTTTTGTGTCAAAGGGTAGAGCCTGGCAGACTTCATAGTTGTGTACAAATGTGGGTCAGTATTGATCTGTTGGTATCAGGCCAATGGCTCTGCTCCCAACGGTTGTTCAGTCACTTCTTTATTTGGACCAGTGTTGGACCAGTAGAAAATGACTCTTGTATGTTTACACATGGGCCAGTTTGTTTGCATTACTGAGCAAAGCAGTTTTGTTGTGGCCTGTTTTTTCCTTTGAAGTGGCTATTTCGGCCCCACAAATGTAAACAGTTTGCTTATTAGTATCAGTGTCCACATTTAAAGCAGGTAAAACTAAATCAAGAGAAAGCATCAGATGTTTTAATTATTTGAATCACATTATTTGGCAAAGCTTAGTCTATGCCATAATTTAGGGGTGGGAAATAATTACAAAAAATCCATCTACCTACCTTTACAAAACAAAAATGCCAGAAAGTTATTAATTTTAACAGCAGCAAGAAATTCAGACGATCATAAGAAAGAGGGTAAGACTTTGGGTACAGTTAGGTGCCTATAAGAACTAAATATTGTCCATTAATGTGCACAAAGCTGGACTTCAAAACGATACATTTACAATGGTAATAGGCATGTAATTAACCACATTTTTGTTATTCAGCACAATGGTTTAATTCTGAAATCCATTGGTGAGGTACTTGGAAGGAAGTGGAGCTACAGGTTGGAGACCCCTGATTTAGAGTAATAGAAACTTGCAGTTTTAATGGTCAGTTTGAAATATGAAGCTAAACTAAGACTAGAATCACACAGTGATTTTGACTGATGTCTAAACTGTGCAATATTACTTAAATATGGATTTCAGAATAAATTCCAATTTTTATTACAAACAAAAATTTTAAATAAAATGAATTATTCAGCCCCAAGACCAAGACCATGTAAAAGAATATAATGTATAAAAAAATAATTGTCATTCAGTCAGATGATCCCACGAGTACTTGACAGTGTCTCTGGGCTGTGCATGTGCAGACTGGGCTGTGAAACATGGGACTGGATCAGGTTTCACATTTCTGTCCAAACGCGGCGCGGTGACCTCGCTGTCATGGAGACGGCTTTAGCAGGTGATTGGACCAGAGCCAAGCTCACAAAGGGGGCTCTCTCACACAGAGACACACAGAGGAAACTTTGAATGACTGAAAGTTATAAAAAACTTCTTTGGAGTTGGCTGCAATCAGTTTTCCATTTCATAATACTGTGTGTACAAGTGTGCTGTCATGCTTTAAAAGGTTCATTACGTCACTTTTCGGGTGAAGGGTCTGCCATGTGCTTGTCTCCATGGAGATGACATGATTTAGAATGTTCCACAGTATGGCATTACATCAAAACATATCTGTCCCTATGGACACGAGCAGGAGACGTCACCAGGTCAAGTTACAGGTCAGGTCTGTGGAGATGCGACCCTGCTCACAGTGAGAATTTTGTTTTTCCATGATGTTTTTGTATTAAAAAAGTCATTAAATAAATGCAAGAGAAGTTAAATGTCATATTTTGAACAATTCCAAGCAATAAACATCACACCAGAAAAGTTATAGTGCACCTTTAAGTCAATACTGGACTTTAGACTGTAGATGGCATTTTTACTGTTTTGACAAGGCCACAGCTTGCTCAAAAATGTAAAAAAAAGATACAAAAGTCTTGACAAACTTTGTAAATGAAGCACCATCTCTGGATATATTGGGCTATAAAACAGTATTAAAACATGAATTAAGTTTTAACCCCAAAACCAGGTCTAAGCTCAGTTAAAATATGATTTTAAACCAAGCTTATGGGAAAAAGGGTCATATTTTAATGTACTGTACAAGTTCCTTAAAACAGGGTCACCCACGTGCAGCTCATTCACTCGAGAGATTTGTAAATGACATATAAAAGATCAGAATAAGGATGCATGTTTTAATTATACTTTTCATTTTGCTTGGATAAAACATGCCTTTATTTTTTGTCTATTTTGGAACTAAAAAGTTACACACTGTGGCTTTAAAGTAAACTAGACATAAACTGGGTCAAAAGCAAAGACTTGGCATTAGCTTGAAAAGTAGTCAAACAACCAAAACTAAACTAAACTAAACTCTCAAAACAAAATCTGGACTTTTAACTGCAAAAATCTCCCATGCTCTAAATGTACGCACACCACATGTTGAGACTCACTAGAAATTTCAAGGAGCGGTGTACGAGCCTTTCCATGACAGTCACCTCTATCTGACCTCCCTCATGTTAACTACTCAGTGGGTCAAACACTTTCTATTTCGGTAACCATTTTAACCAACCCAAGACAAACTGTTTAAAATGTCAACATGACCTGGTAATTCATGTCCTTGAATGAAAACAAAATGACCTTAAGATTATCTAGTTCAAATCTCACATATGGCAAGGTGTCCTCTATGGGAAAAAGCGAGCAATGCAAGCTATGACATGAATCTTACCTTTGGAGGCGCTTTGGTCCCATAAAACCGGAAAGGTCCTGAACTGTCTCCTGGTGGGAAGTTTCACTCTGGCCCCACGTTGGATAAGCACGGCCGAAGAGGAGACACAGCGCAGAAGGGTGGACATGGCGGCTCCTCCCAAAGCCTCTGGATTAAAAGCAAAATAAAAAACTTAGCAGGAGGTTATGTGGACTCCACTACTTCTGCATTACATCCTAAACTACGAGAGGCCCACTAACACGGTGACATTTCAGATCTACAGGACACTCTCACTCTCAGGAGCACAAGGCCGGGGCTCAGGCTGGGGTTGGTTACAGCCGGGTGATTTGTTCGCGAGACTTGGGAGAGTTATGAGGGAGCAGGGAGCAGTGCCAACTCAGTGTGTGGAGGGACTAAAGAGCTCTGATAATCTGAATGAATGAGGGCACAGCAGATAAAGATGAATTGCCCTGTGTCTTAAAAGTGAATATATGTAGCTCTAAAAGATTAATGAGTTTACTGACAATATAGTCTACATAATTTTACTGAGTAAAGGATAACATTATTGCAATATTGTAAAATGCTCTCGTCTGAAAGGGCATAATGACCTTAACAATGGAAATGAAAGCAAAGCAAAATATCAGTTCCACAATAAGGCAACTGGAAATTTAAGCTATTTTCTAAAATATATGCATATTGCTGATCATATTAAAGCTTCATGCATTATTCATTCACTCACAAAATCTTGGAACAGGTAACGGTTGAACCTGGTAGCTACTTTTGTAGTCACAGCTGCCCTGGAGGCAGTTCCCAACATTCACTCACACAGTATTCAGTACAAAGTGGGTGAATTGTCTAACTCAAGGACACAACAAACTGTGTGCACAGATTAGACTGAACAAAACCTCTACCACTGAGAAATTTCGGTTTCTGTTTCGCTTTTGTATTGAATTCATTTCTCTTTATATGTGTAGCTATGACAGAAATCACCATTCACGGGCACTAAATTACATTCATTTGGTTAATAGAGGACCAGAAGTGTGTACCACTGTACACACGTAAAACACAATCAGGTCACAGGGAGAAGCCGCTACAACACAAACGACTGTAGTTAGCAAAAATGTCTCACATGACTCATGATCACAAATGTTGAGTGCAAATGCTTCTGGAGCCATTGGAGCTGCACAAAGCAGAAGCTACCCTTGACGTGGCGTCTAGATTCTCCCATATATAGTGCTGTATTCATATGTTTCAGTACATGGGTACATTTTGTGCTTTCATGTAAACGCGCGCATTTCTGAATATTGCATAAACAAACCCGGTTCGTGTGGCGCAATGACCCGGGATGCAACAACAAGGAGCGTTTGTCATTCATTTGTTCATTGGAAGGCGCCATGTGCCCTTGACTTCACGTTGCACGGTGGTAATGCACTTAACCGAGAGCTATGGCTGCAGCTCGCTGTCTTATCTACAGACTTGCCTTTGTGCGTCGAGACAGCGCAGATTAACGGAGCACTATCCCCGTCTGCAGCAGTAGGTCACCGGAGACACCGCCTGCTCAGCCCGGTGTAGTCAGTGCGCAGAACCCGCTGGAAAGAAAAGCGCAAACAGGGCCTTCCGCAGTTTGATATCTCAGCCGCTGCGCTATTTGTGGAGATTTGGGAACCACGTGACGGACCGGCTGACCACCTGGATGTAGAATCCTTTGGGAAGAGGACAGTCCAGACGTTTGTGACAGTTCGCACACAGTAAACCAATTATGACAAGTCGGTCTAGACTCCGGCAGTGGAAAATATGCCACCGCAAATATGCATTGCTCCAGTCAATAATCAATAGATCATGTAATGCAAACGTCAGAATATGTCCATATTTGACGTCCAAACGGATACAATTTTAATATTACTTGACTCTGGCTGGTAATATTTTTAATAATACGGCTCAATATATTAATAATTTCAATGTATCACAGGAAAATACTAATGCTAATATCCTTTTGTTTAGTTCTGAAGTCCAGTGAATCATGAAATACTGTGCATAATCAGTATAATGCTTTCTTACATCTTTCACTTTCACTATTTTCAGAAAACATCAGGATTTTTAATGTTCAACTTTGACCACAAGATGGCAGCAATGAACCAGTAAAACGACCAAAATTTTACCCGGAGTTACTAGATTTTACATTACCCATTTCCCTAATAAATGCTATATTATAACACATTTTCATAGAAACGTGTATCCTTTTGTTGATTAAAAAAATATATATATTTTTTGTTCTTAATATTTAATCACATTTTATTTTATGAGCGGATATTGCGGTTTACGTGCTCCCGGAAATAATAGTGTTTGGCCAACCTCCTCAACACAAGCCGCATGGATTTTTGTAAACATTCGCCTTGGCGCGTTCAGTCTCGAAATTTAATCATGCCATTGCACGAATAAGTCTTTAAACTCTGCTGCTTGAAGTTAGCAAGTCATCGATTCACTTTTAAGGTTAGAAGTGCCATCAATTTGGGGGAGACCACAGTTTTATAACCATTAGCTATACAAGTTATGCTATTCTCATTCTCATGCATGTGGTGTAACTAACTTTGCATAAATAAGGTTGAACTGCCTTAGTTGTTAGTTTTTCTTGCAATAATCAAAATGTGAAGTTGTTAAACCCAGCAAAGTGCTTTGTGGAAAGCATAAAGCCTACATAAAATAAAAATCAAATGCATAATAAGTCAATATTGAAAGTAGTTACGTTGAAAAATACTGTTCTAAATCATGAGGAATTATTACTGAAGTTATTTTAGGTATGGGTCCTGTTTTTAAAAAAAAATACTGACAGCGGGACGTACTGTGTCATGCCATTCAATTTTTATCAGAAAAAAAAGATATCAGTTGTTCAGTAGTGATTTTTTGTTATTGCATTGTCATAGCATGTCATTTTGCAGCACTTTCAATTCAGGTGGTCTATAAATATTGTATGCTTATTTTATAGGGCTGCACCTAATAACTATCTTGGTAGCCAACCAGTCTACTCTTTTGAAAGTTATTTTTGCTTTTTTTTTTCTGTACAGTACAGTTTAAAAATCTGATTACTATTAGTCAGCTGGTCATGGTTACTGGTAAAATGATAAATGGTCACATTTTATATCTTTATATCTCTTCCATCTTTAAGGCACTGAGAGCACTTTATTCCAGTTAACTCTTGCAGCTGTACTATTTTGAAAGTGCATTTAACTTGTGTCTTTTATATTCTAGTGTAACATCATGACTATGGACTCATTGCACCTATTGCCTGTGGAGCCATGTGACAGGGGGTCTCAGCGCTGCAGATTGGGCCCAGGACTGATGTCGACTCTGGGTATAAATTTGGGCTCCCCTTTGCTGGTCTCTGTATCTGGATCTAGCTTTCTCTGCACAGCATGGCCCCGCCCTGATTGTGCAGAAGGCTTTATTCAAATGGACCCAAAATCCTGCTCACGAAATCTAGTGTTTCATCCTTCTACCTCTTCACACATAAATGTGAACCAGATTTCGCCAGTGCAATGTTCTAAGCTTAAAGGCATCAAAATCACAGTAGTGGTCCAAAGTTCTGATTTTAAACGCAATACTCCTCCACGTGTTATTCATGAACTAGTAAAAGACATGCTTAAAGGAGTATATGTACATAAGGACCATGTGATTAATCTGGGAGATTATGGGACAGACATTAAATACACCGTTATTGAAGAAGTCAATCCAGATTCAGAAAACTGTGGACTTGTAACATCTAAAACTGGAGTGGAGATTTTAAGCATCAAGACGCTCAGATTTTTCAAGGGAGGAGTCCAGCAGCAAAACAACATTGTTACTTTGGGTGGTCTGGATGAGGTCAGTATTTTGTTATGTAAATATGAAACTTGTTATTATCTATATTTGATGGTTCATTTGAGTTGTTCAAATTCATAATAATTAGCAAAACTGTAAAAATGTGGACTCAATTATACTGCCTGCACTAATAAAGATAAACTTACTGTTACATTTGAAAACAGTATTGACTTTTTTATTTTTCAGGTGCGGTTGTCTCTAAAGGAGATGCTTCAGTTGCCGTTGGTTTATCCACAGACCCTGGACACTTTGGGCCTATCCTGTCCCAGAGGGGTGCTGCTGGTGGGGCCTCCTGGAGTGGGAAAGACTCAGCTTATCCGCAGTGTGGTCCGGGAGGTGGGAGCCAGCCTCGTGGTGGTACATGGGCCAGAGGTAGAAACTTAAACATGATTGACAATAAAAGAATTATATATGAGAAGAATACCAATACAGTACCAATTTTCAGTTCCTATGCTGACACATATACTAAAGTTCTGAGTTTTTGGCAATGCTTGATGCCGACCAGTACCAGAGCAGAAACTTTACTCAGAGTATCTAAATTTATCTAAATATGCTACAGTTAACCTACCCATTCTTGAATTTCCCTCTGGATTAATAAAGTATCTGTCTGTCTGTCTGTCGACCATGGACCAAATATTCACAGTAATTGAAAATGGTTCATCTGGACATCCCTAATCACAAAGGAAGAAGCCAGTAAATCACAATAGTCTTTAATTAAACACTTTTTCTATTATGTTGTAACTGTCTTTAAAAAAATAAATCAAAATATTGTCTATGATTTTATTTCCTGTCTCTTCCAGATTGTGGGTACGAGGCCGGGTGAGAGCGAGGAGAAGCTTCGTGCTGTTTTTGACAGTGCTCGGTCTGCGTCTGAAGAGGGTCCTTGTATTTTGTTTCTGGATGAACTGGACTCGCTGTGTCCCAAAAGAGCCGGAGCCACAGCAGCAGAGAATCGGCTCGTGGCACAGCTCCTCACTCTCATGGATGGGATGAACCAATCAGATCGCTTTCTGATCGCTGCGGCAACCAACCGACCGGACAGTCTGGACCCAGCCCTGAGGCGACCGGGGAGATTCGACAGAGAGGTACAAGGATGAGTCAGGAAATACTGTTTTTAAAAGGTAGTTGTCTATATTACGTACTATCCAGGTTTTGCTTGTGTAGTGTACGCAGAAAAAGTCTAAGGCCCTGAACACACTGCACATGTCAGTGTTTACAAACGGGCAAAACGGGGAGTTTTTATGCTTTCGTATTACAAAATACGCACGCAGTGTGTCCCTGTCCTAATGCCTCTGTCAAAAAAAGTCATTATATTAAATATATTTAATTACTTGAGGATTAAGCAGTATTTAAGATTTGTAAAATGGCCCAGAAAGTACAAAAAATAGACTAAAATAAAAGTGTTAGTTATGTTTATTGCACTGAAAAACTTTGAAACATGTGTCCTAACTGCGATTGGACTTGCATCTCTACATATCTTGAGATTTGGCCTGGAGGAGGACCGCATCCTGCTTGTTTCCATGAAAATGTTGTTCTTTTGGCTATAATATTCCACAGTGTGACATAAAAATCATCTGTCTGGAGAATGGAGAATGTTTCAAAAGTATGGTTTCTTTATTTCTTAGTTACACAGTGTAACTCTTTGGAGGTATAATTTCTTTATATAATGAACGTGAATGCAACAAAGTAGCAGATAGTAGATAGTAAATAATAATAGATTTTTAACATGTTTTTCTCAGGTGATTATTGGAGCTCCAACGCTGAAGCAGAGGAGGCAGATTCTGAGCGTTCTGTTTGAGAAGATTCCAGTTTGTTCCTCTGTGGATTCTGAGGAACTCGCTCAGAGGACCACGGGTTATGTGGGGGCGGACCTGAGCGCACTGTGCAGAGAGGCAGCCATGAACAGCATAAGGGAAATGGCAAAGGTAAACAACACTGTGTATTGGCAAGGTAGATTGGAATATATCAGTTAAATTTTTTTCTGTTGGGGTGGTGGAGAGTAATCCAATCAACAGCATGCAAAAAGCCTTAGCTAAGCAGCACAGTGCTTATTGAAAACCACAATTTTGATCTAAAATGACTTATAGAAATGGGTTTAGGCTTCCTGTTCAAACCTTCATACAGATTTTTATGTATTTTTTTCATATATAATACCAAATAAATATTTGGTGATTGTGTTTGGTGAAAACAGAAAGTACAACAGATGACAATAAGATTATTCAAACATGCATTAATTAATCGAAATACAACTTTGACAAAGCTAATGATGATGGAACACCACATGAAAGAACATGTTTTAACATGGATGTTTCAATATATGCCCTCTTTAATTAATTTTCAATTAATTTTCAATTAATTAAAGCAGATGTGGAAAAAAAAGCCCAAGAAACAATGTTTTTTTTATTTGGGACTTTGGACATTTAGCTTGTCTGTAAGTGTCCCTACAAGTAAACAGTGTTGTCTTTTCACACTGACTTTGCAGGGTTCAGGAGAACAGGCTGTGAGTATGAAGCATTTCACCGAGGCCTTAAAAACAGTGGGTCCTTCATGTCTCAGGAGTAGTTTGGGACGGACAGATTTCGCCCCGGTGTCCTGGGACCAGATCGGAGGACTGAACGACGTCAAACTCAAACTCAGACAGGTATTACAAAGATGAGCATGTTATGAAATGTAGATGGTTCTAAGGAACTATTAAGCATTTTAACCCAGTATCACACAATCAGTGGCTTTTTCATCATAATCACACCAAAATTTAAACACACAGATTTGTCTTCAAAACGGAGATTTAAAATGTACAGGATTATAAAACTTTTTGCAAGTGCTTATTAGCATAAAAAACACAACACAACACACAAAATCACACAACATATTCGTAGAGACAAGCAGGTGATGGAAAAGTTACATAGTGAATCTTTAGTTGATCTTAATCTATTATTTAATATCTAGAATTGGTGTTAATTTTTTGAAGAAATTACCTGCTAATATGTTTTTTTATTATTTGAATTTTTAGATATTTTGACATTGTTCATTATCATCCATGTTCATATTTAACTTGTCTTACTTGGCTATTGTCTTCCTATTCTTTCCCCTGTGTAGAGTATAGAGTGGCCGCTGCGGTACCCTGATGCTTTCCTCCGCCTGGGTTTGTCCCGCCCCCGGGGGTGCTGCTATACGGACCTCCAGGATGTGCCAAAACCACCCTGGTCCGAGCTGCAGCTGCATCCAGCCATGTGGCCTTTCTGTCGGTCAGCGGGGCTGACCTCTACTCCCCCTATGTGGGGGACTCGGAGAAGGCACTGGCTCAGGTACAAGTAAAACAAGACAAAATAATAATCATCATAAATAGTAGTAATAGTAAATCTTTCTTACTTACCATAATTTCTGGACTACAAGACGCTACGTTTTTCACACACTTTGAACCCTGCATCAGGGGGTGCAAGAGCGAGACAGACAGGTGAAAGAGATGATGCACCAAGGAAGATGTTTGATATGTTTTGAACATTTAGTTTGCGCTTCATGCACACACCCTGCTCATGGAAAACACACAGAGAAATGCATATGATGCAGCTTTTAACTTAAAGGCAATTGATTTGGCTGTCGAAGAAGGAAACAAAGCTTCTGCACATGAGCTTGGCATCAGTGAATTGATGGTCAGATGTTGGCGACGGCAGCGTGACGAAATGACTTAAAGCAAAAAGACAACAAAAGCTTTCAGAGGCAATAAAAGCAGATGGCCTGAACTTGAAAACGTTCTTGAAGACTGGGTGAACACTCAAAGATGTGGACATGTGCATCTTATAGGCAAGTGTGGCCTATGTATGTACAATTTTCTTTTCAAATTTAACTGATGTGGCTTATATTCAATTGCGCTCAATAGTCCAGAAATTACGGTACTTATAGAGTCATCTTTTCACAGATCTGACCTGTAACATGACTTTTTGGCATTACCTGCTTGTCTCCATGGAGATAGACATGTTTAATTCCAAACTGCATGTGATTTCAGCTAAAGTAGTAACATCTTCATCGAAACAGATAAAATCAGATGGCGAACCCTTAACAATAAAAGTTACATAGGGCACATTTGCTTATCACAAGAAATAAAGCTTAAAATGTAAACAAAATTCAGTGTGTTAGTTTGTTCAGAGCCTAATGCTGCTTGTTGTTTTTTACCTTGTGTTTTTTGTTATAGTTGTTTCGTCAGGCCCGCTCCTGCGCCCCCTGTGTTCTCTTCCTGGATGAGATTGACTCTCTGATTGGCTGTCGGTCGAGTGGGGAGGTCTCTAGTGGGGTCCAGACTCGGCTCCTGTCTGTGCTCCTAAATGAGATGGACGGAGTTGGACTAAAGACGGAGGAGAGGAGAGGTGAACGAGTACTACAGGCCGAGGGAGAGGACCACGGACATCAACATGAACAGGTATGGACTTACACAGACCTGTGGTTAGGGCTGGGTAACATTTAAATATACTAGTACAATAGTGTGGAATAGTTGGTGATCAATACGAGCGTTCATGGTCCTATTTAGGTGTTAGATTTTTAACAAAATGCGTCACACCCAACAATGTTGATGATATCAGTTGCGAAGTATCAATAGAAAGTTATGGGGCAGTTTTACAACTAATGGATGATAACAGTTTTTCTCAGATAAAATGTGTTTATTAGTACTAAGATAAGATAAATTTTATTGCCGCACCAACATCAGATAGACAGATGCATTACAGAAAAGAATGCACTGCAGTCACTTGCACAATTAGTGCAGTTCATGAAATTCATAAATTCATATTGAGCACAGAATAATAATCAGTAAAATGTAATAGTGTTGATGTTAGGTCTACGTGTGAGGGCAGAGCCAGCAGAAGGTGTGTGTTACTGGGAGAGTGTTGGTCTAAAAAGGCTTGATAGTGAATGGGTGAGTTGGCACTGGGCATCCACGTCTGCAGGACCATATTTGTTTGTTTTTAATGGTTTTCATGGTTTAGTTCATAAAATGTGCTATATAAATCAAGTGAAAGAACTAGAGATCGAACAATATTCCCTTCTTTCATGAGCGATGCCAATTGTTTAGAATATAGAGGAACCGATGGCTCTGATAAGCTGATAAGCTCTGCCGATATGTAAAGCTATGATGTAGGTATTTTTTCTCAAATTATCAAATAAAAATTTTGTACAAACTTTTCCACAACCTTCTTTTAGTACAAACCTTGGTGAGTCCAGTGTAGTCACAGTTGCAGACTCTCTTTAGACTTAAGTGTTCAAACAAAGCTTTATGCAAATATTTATCATGCATATTTAAGCAGCTTGTTGGCCAAAACAAAATTGTCCTCTGTTGGTGATTTATGCCCGCTGATACTCTAAAAAGTACAAATATCAGACTATCTCTTGAATTAACATCTCCACGGAGACAGAACAGGTTCCATAGTGCACCTTTACAACATATGCTCTGGCTTTACTGTGTTGCAGGCAGACTTTGTGGAGGTGTGTAACTCGGAGGTGATGGTTGTTGCTGCCACAAATCGCCCGGATGCCCTGGACTCTGCTCTGCTGCGCCCAGGACGACTCGACCACATCATCTACGTCCCACCACCAGATCAGGAAGTAGGTTTTAAATATTCTCTCACTTGGACACTTGGGCTGTAGAACCTGAGTAGGGCTGCAATCAAAATAACAAAAAAAAATTTTATTGGACAAAAGACTTGACCTATGCATCGCTCAATCAACTAAAATGGAACATGGAATTCGGAAGCACTCTCAAAACTATCTTCATGAGCCAAGTATGAATTTAACCCAAAGTGCACTGACAAGACACTACTAATAAATTGAGTTTATGTAAAAATGCAGAATAAATTCCATATTCATTCTCAAATTTTCACCTAACTCCTTTCTGCTTTGGTTCACGTATATCCTTTATAATCCAAACTATTACTATTTTTCGCTTGGATAATAGTTACAACAAATGGTGATGGATTTAATAAAAAAAAAAAAAAATATATATATATATATATATATATATATATATATATATATATATATGTCAACTAAACTAAAGACATTCATTGCTATAGCCTGCTGAGTTATAAGTTTTTCCCCTTGTGTTTCTAGAGCCGTCTGTCCATCCTGAAGCTGTGCACTAAGTTGATGCCTGTTGCTGACGATGTTTGTTTGGAGGAAATGGCTCAAAAGACAAACTTCTTTTCTGGAGCAGATCTGGAAAATCTCTGCAAAGAGGTGAGATTTCTGCATCTGCTTTTCAAACCATTCTGTTAGGTTCTTCTCTTTTTTAAAGTTTCTAATTTTGCTTTTTTAATTACTGGTCAAATTATTGTAGTATATCTGTTGTATTTATATATTTGCTTGCTCTAATTAAATTCAAACTACAGGTATTTGCAACTCGTCTTCGTACATGTCTTTGTGTTTCCTCTAGGCGGCGCTGTTGGCTCTGCAGGAAGAAAACATGGAGGCTTCTCACGTTAGACACAAATACTTTCTCCAGTCCCTGAGTAAAATGACCCCATCTCTTACTGCACAACAGATCCACATGTACCAAAATCCACCTGCGTAATTTTACCAGTGTCACGTTCAATAAACTTTTACTATTACTTTGAAATACAAACTTTTGATCATTGACTTTTTTTTTCTTGTAGATAATCTCAGAAAGACTTTTCCTTACAATTTAACAGCATTATACATTATGATTTAATGCCATAGTGTATTACACCAACACTTTGCAAACCTTGAAGTCTGTCATGTGGCTGTAGTGCTATGAATGATGTCACTGCATTTTATCAGTCTTTTTTTAAATATTGGCTGCAAATTAATAAATACATACATAAATACAAAATAAATACAAACCCTGTAGTATGATTTAGTTCTTTTATTTGGTACACTTTTCTGGAAGAGGGTCAACCACCTGCTTGTTCTCATGGCCATGTTATTGCTTTGTCTGTATAGCACAGTATAGCATAAAACATTATCTTCATGGAGATAAAAAAGTGAAGTTACAGATCAGATCTATGGAGCAGCAACTACTGTCACAGAAGGTATGTTTTTCAAAATTTTAAGCAAATAAGCTTAAAATTAAGCATTATAAACACCTGTAAATGAATGAATGAATGCTAGATAGATAACCCGTACCCCTGGTTGGGAAACACAGGTAAAGGATTGGATAACTCCTGCGTTTTAATGAGCTCATGCCTTAATAGTTCAGTCTAGAGTCTGGACTAGGGGTGATCAATTATATTTTCCATGGGGCCATGAGAAACTGAAAATATTATGGAGGGTCAGGCCTCAATTCAACTCAACTCAATTCTGCATAAATTTAATTATATTTCTTTATATATATATTTTTTAAAAAGCAGTAAATAGCATTGTTTTGATAAGCTGGTAAGACTGGTAAGAGTTTATGATATGACTAAGCAATAGGTATGTAACAATAACCAAAATATCGTGATATTGTATCATCAAAAGTCTCACAATAAAATCATGGGCTTTCACAATAAATCAAATCACAAGTTCCTTTGCTTAAATGCATGGTTTTAAAGAAGCAACATCTTATAAATATCAGGAACTACATATCCCATGATTCATTTCAACGCAGACAACATGAATAAATATATTTTTTACTTGAATTCTTGGGATTGTGACAGAAATAATTCACACCAAAATCGTGTCATGGTATATTAAAAGCAAAAAAGTGTCCTATCTACAATTATTTATCGTGATAATATCGTACCGAGAGATTTGGATATCGCTGCATCCCTATTAAGCAATGAAAAAAATAGGTTGTCATACAAAAAAATTAATTAATTAATAAAAGCATTGCAGTTTTACTCCATGCATGAGGTAAAACAATAAAAATGAGCTGTATGTGGCCTGGGAGCTGTAAAACTCCCATGTCTGGTCTAGAGTGAAACAAGGACATGCAGGGATGGTGTCTAGACTCCCAAGACACCAACCCTGCATGTCCTTGTTTACACCTTCAATAGCCCACGGTGTCCAGCAGGGGGCGTGATTTGCTATAAAAATGTATTGATCCTCCTTTGAATAGTTTGTGTGAATGTGATGGGTGCGATTGAGAGGAGGAAGCAGAGTACGTGCGTCTCACCTCGTCCTCCCTTTGACTTTCTGAACAAACCCGAGAGAGAGAGAGGGATGCTCATTTAAAACAACACCACAACTTCACACAGGACACAGGTGAGAGCAGCCAGGGACACGCACCTGCACTGAAAACCACTAAAAACTTCAATACTGGATGATAATTCTGGATATCTTTTGATTCTAAGGCGCTGCTGTTAATCAATAAGGAAAAAAATGAGAGGATTTGTGCAGATTTTGAAGAAGAAGAAGGAGGTATGGGCTGTTCATCTGCTGACTCATTGTAGTTTTATAGTACATTTATTTACTTATTCTCAAATGAGTATGTTATATTACCATTGATTTATTAATACTTACTTAATTTAAGCTTTAATTAACAGTTTTATTCACATTACATTTTATTTTTTAACCTAACGTTACTTGAATGAACGCAAATTATCATTAACTCTAATTAACTATAATTAAGCTAGCTATTTCAACTTTTTTTTTTTTTTTTTTTTTTATCTTAATCTACCTTGTTTTCATTTATTTCCTTTCTTATTATTAATTATATTGCTTTTATTAGGATTTCTTTGACATTTCACTACATGGACCTGCGTTTTTTAACTTTGCGTGCAAACAGGTGTAACGTAAACGTCCGCTAACGTTTTTATATTTTTAGTTAGCTGTCTGTGTCATATTTGATTTATTTATGGTTTATTTTCCATCACTTTTGCTATTTATACAAGTTTTAATAGTTATGCAACATTTATTTTGGCTGCTCATGAGTTTAGCTTCCTATTTTGCTGTTATGATTGACGTTTTGGCTTGGTTTGGCACGTTCAAGCGATAAAGTTTTGTTTTGAATTGGTCATTGCCATGGCAACAGTGCTATGTTTTCGATACCCGTATATATTCTCATGAGTATTTAATTAATTAGTGCATTTATTTTTCACTTGAATTGGATATAAGGTGGCCAGATGTCCTTATTTACCCTGGACAGTCCCAATTTTGAGCCCTGTTTCCCCCTGTCCCAGCAGATTTATCCAAAACCAGTGATTTGTCCCAGTTTTATACAAGAAATGTTCCAGCTGTCCCTATTAATGACCAATCTGATACCTGGCGACAGTAAAGAGAGACATAAATTGTAATATTGTTTATATAAAATACAGAAAAGCTGCTTAAAAATGACCAAAACACGAAGAAAATGTGACTATACTGATTCACATGTTTGTTGTGAATGGGATTGAAGAACAATTCTTAATCACGCACTCATTTCACTGTTTTATTATTACCAACCACCAAAAAACAAGAGTGTCCCAGTTTCTGAGTTTGAAATTCTGTTCACCCGAATTCGATTTATGGCTCTTTATTGCAGACTCATCATCCAGAGTAAAAAAAACAAACAGACAAACAAAAGAAATGCGTAATATTTTTATTGCAGTCACAATAAAATGTGTTTGTTTCCTGTGTTTTAGCTGATTCCTTTGATTGGCTTCATGGCTTTTGCTGCAACAGGAGCCACCACTGCGTCCTTGTACTTCCTCTTCACCAAAACCGATGTCGTGTGAGTCATCAAAAATTCAACCAGACTTAATCTCGCCATTAGATTTGTCACTGTTTTCTGTGTTAAAGGTGCTCTCTGTAACTTTTCTGGTCCAACAACTTCTTGTCTCCATGGTGATGTTATTACTTTACCTAAAATGTTCCACAATTGCTCAAAAAGATGCATTTGTATTGTGATTTGATAGTTGTATTTATGCCGTGCTGTGACACATTTCAGGCAAAGCAATAACATCTCCATGGAGACAAAGAGATGGCCGATGCTCCTTCAGAAAGGTTACATAATGCACCTTTTATGTGCAACGTGTGGCGGTAATATTGGATCAAAAATGCATTTCCTGTTTGTGCGTGCGACAGGCAAATCATTTCACATCATCATATATTTCTGTCTAAACTACATTTGTTGATGGACCGTGTGTTGTGGTGTTATTTTTAGCATCAATAAGACCGGTAATCCCGAGCCCTGGGAAAGAGTGGACCCAAGCAAGCCACAAAAGGTAAATACAGACTTACATTTTCATTTAAATCACCTGTATGGCATTTCTCTGTTTTAGCATTATTTTATTGTCACACAGCTGACAGAATTAATTGAGTTTTTGGTAAAGAGGCTTCCTACAAACAGGTGGCAGTTTTTCTGTTGCTCCTTCAGTGAGACAGGTGCGTGTTTCTGCATCATAACAGAGTGTTTAGAGTTAATGAGCAACGAGCTGCATCAGGAAGTCGACGCTGCAGGGGTTGGAGTGCTGCTTAAATAGACTTAAAATTAGGAATGCATGAAAGAAAAAAGAAAAAAACGTGATCTACAATTTATCTTTTGTAGCTGATGTCATCGATATTTCCTGCGGGGTGAAACAAACTGGAGGCACTGCTCTGTTCGTCAAATTAAGACTTAAATCTGAGCTGTTTTAACACAATAAGAACAGAAAAGAGCTGACGGCACGTGAGATGACTTGTGCTGTTAAACGAGTCTCTCACACATAAAAATACAGTCACATAGTAACTTGCATTAGGAAACGTTTTTTCAGTTTTGTCACGCTCAACTTTTTTTAAAACAGGACCATGAACTGGAAATGAGTTTTTAGATCATTTTAAATACTTATTTTGCAGTGCTTGGTAATGCGCGAATTGTCCCTCCATGGTAACCGCTGAACATTCCGCCATAGGCATACATGCAGAACACTCCCAACGTGATGTCACTGCAAAGTATCAATAATTATGTTTAACATGTGATAGAGCTACAGTGGCAGTGTGCATAAGCAGTTCTGTCTCTCAAAGTGAAGGCTTCATGCTCAGGTTAGGATGTGTTTGTGGAGTTTGCATGTTCTGCTTGTGTCTGAATGGTTTTATTTACAAACCTAATCTCTGCTGTCCTACAAGAAAAATAAAGTGCACATTACTGTAACCATGGGATACTAGTTTTTACAAATATATACCTGTGCAACCATTATCTAAAATTCTTCAAAATAATAATCTCTAAATCTGTAAGACAGTATGGATTTAGTTTCTTCTTATACAAAAAGTAAAAAAAAAAAAAGCACTTGCAGAGATTGTAATAACACGCTTTCCATTTGCTACTCTAATGGAAACATAAATCGCACAAGAATAAATGTGCGTTGAAAAACCACATCACCAGTTTTATTTCCTGGACTGTAAACCCTTTTGTGATGGAGGCAGCCAAACCTGCAGAGTCACTGTGGAGAAGCACTTATCCCAATTACTCTGTCTGTTAGTGACATCAGGCAAATGAATGGGCCGCTCCACCGGCTCGGGTTACTGTCACCTTAAAGCGACAGATTTTACATTACTCAACATCACTTTCATGTGTTTTTTAGTTGTTATTTTCCTGTTATTAGAGGAACAGTCACAAGATAGAAATGCAGATTATTTTTCAGTTACTAAGGCAACTCGAGAGCTATACAGTATAACTTAATGCTTCCTGTGATTAATCCTTATGTTGTTACTGTTTTAATTAGATGTTGACTTTAGACTGTCTTCTTGATGTCAACCACTACAAATTTACACCACTGGTACCACAGTTAATTAAAATTTATTTAATTAACCCAGCTCAAAACAATCCTAGATTGTGATAAACACTGCACAGGTATGTAGAGTATGTCCCAGTTTGACCCCACTCTGCTTCTCTTGCCCACGTGGCAACAATAAGAAGAGTAACAACAAGAGCAAAGCAATGGAAAAACTTACCTCATGAGCGTTAATTGTGAATGCCTGTGACTTTATTACATAGCAGTGGACAGATGATAGTTGTTAAATTGACAATGCACTCGACAAATAATTTAAAATGTCTTAAATTCTATAACATATTTAACTTAATATGAGTAAAGTGTTGTATTTCACTTTACCTGAAGTCACTTTACCTTCTATTAGTTTAGTTTAGTCTTTATTTAAAGGGACAATGTGCAGATACTTAAAGATCATTGTTGGAGCCTTATTATTATGTCTGTACCTCCCGCCACTGTGAGGCGCTATTTGTAATTTATGCAAGTACCTGCCCTATAAAAGGGGAGGAAAATGTGCACACAGGTGTTGCACCGTGAAGGTATACAGTCTTTTGACCGTCGTCATTGTGAGCGAGAGCTGATTCTGTGTATGTTTGGATGGCTAAGGTAGGCCAATAAATATTGAGGAACACAGTATTTGGACTCTTTTTATGGAAGACATGCGTCTGAGACACCACACACACTGCAGCCATAGCAGACCTTGCGTAGGACAATTTTTGGCTGCTACAATCATAAAAACAGAGATGTTCCACATTAGAGCTAAATAGCAAGTTTCCGTCTGCAGTTATTCATTCTGTTTTATTCTGCTGTCCATAATAACAGTTGTATAAAAATGCTATTGCCCCATATCTTATTGTATTTCATTATATTTGCACCACATTGTGTTAAATTTAAGTCTATTTTTTAATATATTTATCTTGATTTTTCTCTTATCTTCTCTTAATTTCAGGTGCAAAAAGACACATTTCAACGACATTGACTTGAAGTTACTAAAAATAAGTTAACTAAATTTAGTTCAAGTTTTTGGAGTGTGAAATTAACACGGTGTGCTACTTTCCCCTCATACCTGACCCAAAATGATCTTCCTTAAAACATGTTAAATGTGGCTTACTATTTTTAACTGATCCAATTTCAGACCGAGAGCCCTATTTTTATTTTAAAATATACAAGTTAAAGATGCACTTGCTATTTGCTTGTTTCCACTGCTCTAAATTACATTTACAAATATTAACTGCAATAATCTGTTTGTTGCAGTTTTGGAAACACATCTACTGTTATCTAGGCATGTAACAATAACAGAAATATCATCACACACATCTCACAATAATATCGTGGACAAGTCTCTTTGCTTAAATGAATAATTATGGTGCAGCGATAGCTTAAAAAACAGAGGGAACTACATAGACCATGATCCTTTGCTCCGTTTCAGTGCAGACTACATGAAGTAATAACAGTTCTAAGCACTTTTAAATCTTAGTTCTTTGGATTAAGTCTTGTCAAGGCATTTTAAGAGGAAAAAGTAACATATTCACAGTTCTGATAGCCTCTACAAAATATCGTAATAAATACTGTACCATGAGATTTGGATATCGTTATCCCGACTGTAGTCCTTCCTAGTGTATTTTGCTGTTGGTATCCTTTTATTTACACTGTATAAAGTACTAAGTTTTACATATCACAGCTTCCATCTGATAAGACACATTAAAGTCCAGGTGAGGCGTGTGTTGCTTCGTTTCAACAGGATGAGCCGCAGGGATTAGTTTGACAGGATTATTATATATTTGTTTACAGTATACATACAGTACACTAATAAAACCAGGCCGTGGTTCAGTGTCACCACCTGCACCTTATAACAGATTAAAGTTCAGCAAATGCCTTCAAGATGAATAAATATGTGTTTCTTTATTGGCTAAGTGAAATGGAAATGTCTTCTATATTCACATTTGATTATCTCTGTTGAAGAAATACGACAAGAAGGAACATTTATATCATCATTGCCCGATTATATTTTTGAGTTTGGACATATGGTGCAGCCTTTAAAAGTAGGTCACATATTGTTTTGTTTTTGTTGTTGGATATTTGGTTTCGTTAGTTGTATTGGACAGAAAAAGTTTGCAGCAGTAAGAGTGGAAAGTGGGTTAAGACTGGCAAGAGACGTCTTGCAATCTTTGATCTCACAAAGAGAAAGGGAGAATTATGATTGGACCATCTTGTTCACTGGATATGGGCAGTAAAAATCAGATAACTGGAGTAATCTGATAAACCAGATGATTACGGTGTGTTTACAGCACAAGAGAAATCATCTGAGGACATGTGTCAGTTAATGAATGGATTTTAGAGTAACTGTTTTAGTTGGAAGATAAAGTACAAATAATTTAAAATAATTTGTGCCATTACCACATCAGGTTGCCTTTTTGCAAAATTTTCTTGCACAGGTTTGAACAATGAGAAATAAATCAGACATAATCAGACATTTGTATAGTTCGATAACACCATAAATCAGATAATAATCAGATTTTTGTGTGTAAAATATAAACATAGACACTTTTAACTGCACCTTTTCTTGTTTTCTAGTTTATATTTGTCACGTTCTTACATCTGTGTCATGTTTCTCTTGTAGCTGATCACCATAAACCAACAGTGGAAGCCCATAGAGGAGCTGCAGGCCGTCAAGAACATGCAGAAGTAAAACCTCCACCCGGTGCTACAGCGCCCCCTTCAGTCTCCACTGTGCCCCCATCAGTCTAACAGAATCCTTTCTGCACAAACTCGACTTCAGATGCTCAGTGTGCGGAAACGCTTCTGCTGCACTGGTGGGGTTAGTCACTGTCTGTGTCCAGCTCCTCCATCAAAGACATTCACATGAGTTCAAATGTGTTTAAATATGTTTTTTTTTATTTTCTGTTGTTTGCTTTGACGGGTTTGAATCAAATGCACTGCTCTACGAGGACCAGTTACTGTAGCTTAAACTTTATCTGAATGTTCTGAAATACAACATAAAACTGGTAACAATTCATTATAACTACACCTTAATAATCTTATGACAACAGACTTAAAGCTGCCATCTGTTATTAGACTGGCCGACCGACATCTACTGGTGAAAATAAATCAAACTCATGGATGGTAGCTTTAATTCATGATGAACAAATAGATTCAGACTTAGTAACTACTTCATGAACACCTAAACTCCTAACCTCTTAGTTAAGTAGTTATTAAGCATGAATAATTAAACTTGTTAACTTTGTTCATAGTGAATTAAATGTGTAGTCATTACAAAGTGTTTCAAATATTGTCAAAATCTTTAGGGATGGTAAAATATGGATTATTTCAGACGATAATATCTGTCTTCACAATTTCACAATCTTTTCAAATCTATAGCAAGGCCCACAACTGATGTTAGGTTGTTATAAAGTAGACAAATGAACCTTTTTGTTTAAAATAAGCAAAAGCAACATTGGGTGATTTCAATATCTGGATTGTCGATACCAATAATAACTCGTATATATGGACCATCCCTAAAAAAAGTATTGAATATTAAAGTGTAGGCTTTACATGTAACTCCTGTTTAACCACTGAGTCTCACAGCAAAAAACTCCCATTGTTTTGAGTGACGTGTAAAATGGTGCAGCTTTTAAAAACAGATGTGAATATTAAAAGTGCTTCAGTGTGTCATATTTGTAATGTAAAAATAATTAATACAAGAAATGCACTGTATATTTCAAATAAATTATTGTGAACTTGAAAAACTCTGGTTTGTGTTTTGAAGTTGCGAGGAGGAAATGTGTAAAGATATTTTTAAACGTTGATGAGTAATGTGGTAGAAATCACGGGTGTGGCCACAATTAAGCTCTTTTGTTACATACACCACACCAAACTACCGGTATGTATTTGACCTGTTTGGATTGACCAACTCAATCCAATTTTACATGCGCTCAGCCCTGTCTCTGTGGAAACGAGCAGGTGCCAGACTCTCAACCTGAAACTTTACATGGTGCAGCTTTAATAGTGGCTCCAACTGATATACGGTTTATTCTTATGAGGTCCTGCTTCATTTCTAATCAAACATTGTGAGAAGTTTACATAAGAGGGAGGGTTGGGTGTGCCTATTACATGTGGTTGAACTCTGAGTCAGGATAGAAAGTCTGTCTGTGTAACATAAAAGCATTTTAATTGGACGCAATGCTATAAAAAGTGCTATAAAAGTATAATATTAAAGTAAAGTAAAATTTTAAGGTGCATTGTGTAACTTTGTAACTCTGGTGGAGGGCTTTTTGAATACTTTTCTCTATAGATATGTTACTGGAATTTGTCTGGAATGTTTCACAGTATGGCATTAAACCTTTCTATTGTCATGGAGACCAAATCAGCTCTGTGGAGGCGCGACTCCGCTCAGTCAGAATGGCTGTTTTTCTAGGTATTTTTGAGCTATAAAACCACCTGTACTTGAATAAATGTAAGCTAGAGCACTTTAATGCCATACTGTGGAACATTCCAGGCAGAGCAATGACATCTCCATAGAAACAAGCAAGTGACGGACCCCCAGTCAAAAAGTTACATAGTGCACCTTTGATGCAAATTCAGAAAATAATCAAAATTCTGAAAATAAAAACATAAAAAAGTATAGCTATGAGGGTGGATTGGTGTGAGTTTGGTGGTAAAAAATTGAAATCTCTGCAATAAAATAATAAATATAGGAAGGTATCTGATAATTTAGCCTAAATTTGCCCATAGTAGTGAGAGTAAGAGTTATGCTACTTCAAAATACTACTCAAGTACAAGTAAAAATGTTTGATAAAGCTACTCTTAAGTGGATATTACATTCAAATACACCCCATATAACGCTTTTATCACAAATTTGAAACTACTTTAGTATCTTGCATTTGTAAGTTAGCCTAAACTTACCAATAGTAATAAGAGTAAGAGTACTGCTACCTCAAAATACTACTTGAATACAAGTAAAAAAGGTCTGATAAAGCTACTCTTAAGTGGATATTACGTTCATTTACACCCTGTATGTTACTTTAATCACAAATTTAAATCCACTTTAGTATCTTGCATTTGTAATTTAATCTGAACTTACTGATAGTAGTAAGAGTAAGAGTACTGCTACTTCAAAATACTACACGAGTAGTACAAAATACTACATTCTTAAGAGGATATTCAATTCAAATGGATCCCATATGTTGCTTTCACAATCACAAATCTGAATCCACTTTAGTATCTTGCATTTGTAATTTAGTCTGGTCTCAAAATTCTGACTATTGGTGCAAACTTGCAGTAATTTAATGATGTTTTGATCCATTTTTATTTCTGTTAATATAAAAACTCCTGCCCAGCCCATTTCCTGATAATGATGACTAGTTTTAACCATTAACAGAAAACAATGAGAGGTCAGGACCAGAGCAGTGTTTCCGTATACGATTTGAAGCAGGAAGTAGACCTCCTTATTTGTCAGGAGAGCTGTTAGTCATAGTGAAACCCTTACTTCCTGTTTGAGCGAAGGATAGACAGATTTATTTTATTTCTTCATCACGGGAACATTCAAGGTTTGGATAATCCAGAATAACCAGGTCCCAACTGAAGATCTTGTCTTGAAAAATAAAAAAACATTCACACCCCACAAAAGTGGGGCTATATTTGAAACTAAAACTGGACTAGACCAGAACTAAAGAAGGACTAAAACATGACTAAAACAGGACTAGAACAAGACTAAAACAGGACTAAAACAAGGCTAAAACAGGACTAAAACAGGATTAAAACAGGACTGAAACAGACTAGAACAGAACAGGAATGAAACAGGACTAGAACAGGACTAAAACAGGATTAAAACAGGACTGAAACAGACAAGAACAGGGCTAGAACAGGACAGAAATGAAACAGAACTAGAACAGGACTAAAACAGGACTAGAATAGGACTAAAACTGGACTAAAACAAGACTAAAACAGGACTAGAATAGGACTAAAACAGGACTAGAACAAGACTAAAATAGGACTAGAATAGGACTAAAACAGGACTAAAACGGCACTAAAAACAGGACTAAAACAGGACTAGAACAAGACTAAAACGGGACTAGAATAGAACTAAAACAGGACTAGAATAGGATTAGAACAGGACTAAAACAGGACTAGGATAGGACTAGAATAGGACTAGAACAGGACTAGAACAAGACTAAAACAGGACTAGAATAGGACTAAAACGGGATTAAAAACAGGACTAAAACGGGACTAGAACAGGACTAGAATAGGACTAAAACAGGACTAAAACAGGATTAAAACAGGATTAGAACAGGACAAAACCAGGTCTAGAACAGGACTACAGTGAGTCTAAACACAACAAAGAATTTACTTCCTGTCTGAGACATTGATACAGGCCACAATTGTGAGTGAGTGACAAACAGATTTCTATTATTATTTCTTCATCACGGCACCATTGAGGTTTGGATAATCCAGATTAACCAGGCAGCAATTGAGGATGTCGGTTTGAAAGTAGAAAAATAAAAATATCTTAACTTGTAAAACCAGAACTAATACAGGACTAGAACAGGATTAAACCAGCTATTCTACAGAACTAAATTAGGACTAAACCACGACACAATAAGTACCTTATTTCCTGTTTGAGACAATGGTATAGGCTTATTTTAATTCGGAAATACAGAGGAATCAGACCTACAATTATAAGTGAGTGATAGACAGATTTCTACTATTTCTTCATGGCACAATTTGAAGTTAAAATAATCCAGATTAGCCAAGTGATTGAAGACGTTAGTAAAAAATAACATTTGTATTTCTCATTAGAAGGAGACAATGGTCCATAGACTAAGATATCGCTTCATATAAAAAAACAACAACTGGGCTCTAACATAACAAAATTACACTGTGTATTATTATATTAGTATTATTATATCATATAGTAACAGTAAATTCAAAGTTACCTTTATTGTCAATTTCTTCACATGTACTAGACACACAATGGAATCAAAATTACGTTTCTCTCTATTCTATCCTATACGTAGACAAGACAAGACAAACATTAAAGTGCAAGACAGGACAAATAACATCATCTCTAACTAAACAAATTAAGCTAAAAATCAATGTACAGACAGAAAACAATGACATGCAGATGCTAATGGGGATCAAAATAATCAATAAACAACTTAAGAGAGAAAAGGGGCACATTTTTTTTCTGGTTAATGGTCCAGAAGTGGTGGTACTTTGCTTGAATGTTCCACAATAAGACAAAAAACAAAGCTAACTCCATGGAAACAAGTAGATGACACCAGTAGGACGGTTTACAGGTTAGATCTGTGGAGAGATGGTCCTGCTCACAGTAAGAAAAAAAAAAAGATCTAAATGGAGACAACCAGGTGTGGACCCTCCCACCAGAAAAGTTACATAATGCACCTTTAAATAAATGCAAAACCGTACACTGCACACATTGTTTTTGAATTTTGTGACTGGTTACGCTCGAACCAAGTGCATTCTACCGAGGTCGTTTCACAAATATGTACAATTGTGAATGTAATAAACAATATTTAAATAGAGTTTCCCACCGACATAATTATAAACCATCTAAAAATAATGGAGCCACATCCTTCTGGGGCTTCACTTCCCTCATGGCTCTGTGCGATGGCCTTTTAGAGTATAGGCCTCGTCTGCTGCTATGCCCAAGGTAATTAGGACATATTATCTAACTGAAGTCACCAGTGGACTACTTTATATCATTTGGCATACTTTATAAATTACTACAAACCTTCTTAGCAAAAGTGTATGTGCGCTAAAGGTCCCATATTACACAAAATTGACTCTTGTGAGCGTTAAAACATGTTATAATGTAGTAGAAATAGTTTTTTTTTTTGTCATTTTGCAGCACTACAAAACAAAACAAAACATAGACTACAACCCCATGGAAGTAAAAAGTAATTATAATGCCAAACCCTTTTAAACTGAGAATTCCAAAAAAGAAAAGCAGAGTATGAACAACAAGTTTGCATTTACAATTTTATTTTTGACTTACTGTATATATAAGAGCAGAGGTGGGGACTTGCAAATCGTGACATGGACTTGAGTCACTATTTCTAGGACTTGAGACTTGACTTGATAATATGGACTAAGACTTGGGACTCGACTTGGACTTGAAGGTCAGTGACTTGGGACTTGACTTGAACTTGAGCCCTGTGACTTGAGAAGACTTGATGCTTCTCCTAAAAAAATGTTTTTAGAAAATACTTTTCTGTTTACAGTTAATACAAGCGGCGCTGAATTCAGTGCAGACAACACAACAAAATAACTGTTATTATGCACTTTTAAATCTTAATTCTTTCTGTTCTGACCTTAATGATTTGCTCTAAGATCTTGTCAAGACATTTAAAAAGGAAAAAATAATATATAAATACTCATATATTAATATACCATGACTTTTTAAGCACAATTTAGTTTAAAATTCATATAAATTTCAAAAAACAAAGCTGCTTCGGTTTAAAGACTTGAAATGACTTGAAGTTCAAAGCAGACAACTTGGACTTGACTTGGACTTATGGGCCAGTGACTCGAGACTTGACTTGGACTTGCCTGTATTTGACTTGGGACTTGACTCGGACTTGAGGTCAAAGACTTGAGACTTACTTGAGACTTGCAAAACGACAACTTGGTCCCACCTCTGTATAAGAGACAAAATATAAATTAAAACAAACAAAATTTAATGCAGCTCTATATCTTTCAAAACATAATGCTTTATATTCTTTTTTAA